ATATTTAGGATTTTTAATTTACTTCAGTAGCCATTGTCTGTGAGACTCAGGAAAAGGAGACTTTCATGAATGGTTCAACGTGGGAGAGTGAGTGGCTTAATGGTTCGTTAACAATACTGAAAATGGATTCTGCCAGCATAGTTCAAACTCCGGCTGCGATATATTGCATTTTCTTTTATATCGATGCCCTTAACTTTTGGGAAAGGTTATGAAACCATTTCTCATCCCCACAATCTAGGAGTAGTAAACTAAAAAGAAACAAGGCTGTCGGAACTCATTTTTATTTTAGTCCTGTTAAAAATGTCTCTTCTTAGACTAGCAACCCGAAGCCCTATTAAAAAAAAAATATCACTACGAAAATTGCAGTTGGCATCTTATTTGATCCTATACTCTCTCTAACAAGTCTACAGAATAGTGAATAATGGTTGAATTAAATAAAAAAAGTGAAAAAAGATAAATTACTTAAAATTAAATTTAGGGGCTTGAAATTTATTCCGTTAATTTTTATTGCTGAGTGAGACGTAAATTTAATCCTTTCTACAATAAGTCGGAAGAATAATGAAATAATTTTTAAATATTTCTCAAGGGGATTATCCAAATGTTGAAAAGAAATCTTGGAAAAATAAAAAACATTCAATTAAATTAAAGCAATGATGAGAATAAAGAATGAAAAAGTTAACGGTTTTGAAAATATATACTTTGTTTTATTAAGAGACAGAAAAATGTGTTAATTAAAGAAAGCAAAAACCATATCAAACAAGGTCTCCTTTATTTTCAAATACACAATATGCACAAACACACACACACTAGTATAGCACAAAGGAAGATGTGTGTAAAAAATGTCCGATTTGAGACTAAAAGATGCTGGATGGCGAATAAGTCTTTCTCCTTCTGAGAATATTAAAAAGTAAAACCTTACAGAGAATCATTCTCTATCAGCTTTCTGTCCATTTAATCTCGATTATATAATAAAAATAGTCTTCAGAATATGATGCACGCATTTTCCTTTTCATGTATGCGCCTGTGTTACACTGTTAGTGACCGTTAAAAAGTGTTACGGTGTGAGTGTTAAGTGTGAAGAAAGCCTATTTCTGCAAAATCGGTTCGTTATTAAACCATTTTTTGTAATAGCCGAGTAAGTGACAATTTACAGATAATTAAGAAAAGGAATCTGGAGAGCCATTAATGATTAGGACTGCTTACTGAGGCAGAGCATAAGAAGAAGAAAAAAAACTGGCTAATTTTATAATAAAGATCTTTTTGACAAACAAGATTTTTTTTTTAATGACGCAAAATTCTCGGCTCAACCAAAGAGCTCTTCAAAAAATGATGTTTTTTGGGGGTGGGGGGCAGATTGAGAATTGTCTATCAATACACATTGTTAATGTTGTGCAATACTACCTTGCCTATTTTAGGTAATTCTAAGAACTGTCTGTAATCATATTTGTTTTTATAACTTACCCATTACTAATTTTGAAAAACTTCCAAATAAAGAAAAAAAAAAAAAAATAAAAAGTCCACTCTTGTTAATGTTTTATAATTGATTAAAAAATGTTTCTTAGAATTCACTTTCATCCTTCACTTGATTTTTTTTTTTCAATGTGTAAAAATTTGAAAATTATTTTAAAAAGAGTATTTTATTATTTATTTTTAAGATTTCGGTTTAAATGTTTCCATGGGGAAAATCTTATCACCACTGATTCTCAATCAACCGAGACATTGATTCTGCTTTGGTTTAAGGAAGGTCACGTGACCAACATGAATGCGACTGCAGCAGAAAAACAAACGGAGACATTCACTTTTTTCTGAAAAGCTGTTTTAAATAAAAAATTCTTGCGAAATATAAAATATTTTTAGAAGTTAAATAAAAAAAAAAAAAATTAAGTAATTCGAATTTCTTCGATGAAGCATTTTTTTTCCATTATCATCAATCGCAAAGATAATTTTTTTTCATAAACAAATAAACTTAGTTTAAAAGAAAGTGAGACTTGCTTGACCGACCCAAAAATAAGGAAGTGAAACTTGATCGTGACGGTCGTACTAGTTCTTATAGGAGCGCCGGGAACGGCCCCGAAGAGCCTGGTAAAAAAGACCGGAAGAACTGAAATAAATTGGTAGAACCATCCAGACGATAGCTTTGTTTAAAACAGGCAGAATATTGATAAGAAGAGTGTTGAAGTAAAAGAGACTTGCTGTCTCTTGATCTCTCGTGTAAGCCATCAATTTGATGCGGATATTGATTTGACAATAAATAAAAGAAAATAACTTTCAGTTTTTTAACAATATTGTTTTTTTTTATTGAAAAATTTTCACGTTTCATTGAACATCATTAGAACCGGCCATGAAAAATTAATTTATACAAATTAAATACAAGATATGATTTTTTTGTCAATAGCATTTAATTCAATTAATTTGTGTAAAAATTTTAGTAAAGAAATTATTTCAGCTATAGTTGAGACAAAAAAGAAAAAAAAACGGTCAATGACCAGTGATCAGTAAATGCACAAAAAAACAAAAAAAAAAAACAACCTAAAAATGACCCAGGCAATTGACGTTTGCTCTCCCTCTTTTCATTATGAACACTGAACAGCTTTTTAAAAATTCATATTTTTCTTCCAAACAGAGAGCCTGCTGTAGAGTCCTGAGTTAGCAAGTGATTTCACCCTCTCTAGCATCAACGTTTTTTGTTTTTTCTTTTTTAAATTAAAAAACGAAGCGATTCGATCCTTATTAGAATCCTTCCTCTATGTTTAAGGAAGCTAAATTTTTAATTTTAGTAAATATGGACACCTACCATAGCCCGAGGAAGAACAAATTCTTGTCGAAGATCGTTCTTGTTTGCCAAATTAGATTTGGAGTCAGACTCGACGCCCCCACTGCCGTAATGTAAAAAACTGTAGTTCAGACTAAAAAAAAAAAAAAAAAGCTTGAACAAATCACCCCTTTCCTTCAAAAACGTGTGCGTAGTAGACAAGCACACCAAAAAACCATTTGCTTTTTCTCGGCTTTCTACGTCTCTTGACAAAGCGCCAGTTTTTTTTGTTTTTTTTTCTTAAAAAAATATTCAAACTCAACGCACGCAGTTTTTACTCAACTTAAAACACATGCCTATCCTATCGCCTAATCTTTAAAATAAAAAATATTCAGTTTTGTTTGCGATATAACACGGTACCTTCCGTGAAAAACGTGCTGGCTGTGTCCACTAAAGAGAGTAAGACGCACATTAACTCAATTGAAAAAAGTAATCCTAAAAGAAAAAAAAAAAAAAAAACAAGTCTTTCATTCTTTCTGAATTTGGTAATATTTTTACGTTTACCCAACCCAAGGTTTTCTAAATTTATTATTATTGCCAATTAATCCTAAAGCTAATTTTCTTTTAAGATCCACAAACATTGCTATTTCCGAGAATTTTGGAACTTCAGTTTCCAAATTATTAACAATTTAACATTGAGAGGGTATTTTTCATTTCAATTTCACATTCAGGAAATCACAAAAAAAAAAAAAAAAAAAATATTTAATTTAATAATGGAAGAACAAAAAGCAAAGAAAAAAAAACTTAACCACGAAAAGCTAGTGAGCGGTTTTAAGTTTTAAAATTTAAAAGGAAAGACAGACATAAAAAATGACAAGTTCTGGAATTTTACTCGTGACAAAACGATAGCATTTGAACATTATTTTTTTTAGTTTACCTAAAGAGAAAACTGAAAACAGAAAAACCACATTTTCACTTGGCCATTGTATTATTCAGCGTAGAATGAAGTCACGAATTATCAATTTAAAATTAAATGGTTGACACTGGAAAATTGCCATTTGAAAGGGCAAATAAGAAAAGAAATCACACGATTTTTTTTTTTAAGAAATTAAGCATTTGGGTGAAGTTTTCATAAAATGGTTCGAAAGATTGTTTTCTATGTTTTTTTTTAACAGCTTTTTTATAGATTCATTTTTTTATTGTTCAATCTTTTTAAGGAAATTCTTGATACAAATTGAGTTTCGAAAACTATATGCCCACTGACCGAAAATGAATATGGTTCGTTAGCAAAAACACTAACAGTAACACTTAAAAGTTAACACTAACACTTAGTTGATCTTTAATGATTTCATTGGGGGTGGGGATAAGTTACTGAAACATTTTTTTTTTTTTAAATACATAAAGTAAAAAAGACAAAGGAATTCAAGCAGGGAGAATTTAGGCTTTTAAAATGAAAGCCTCACTGATTTGCGTTGTTTTAAGAATAAAACTGAAAGAAAGAAAACTAATTTACATGAGCTTTCAATATTCCTATTTGGATTGAGCCCTAATTGTCGCTTGCTTCAAGGCCAACTTCATGCAATGCTATGATCAAATTTAAAAATACAACTCTTTTTCATAAAAAAGGACTTTACTTTTGTAATTTGCTATTAAATTTACTTTAAATATATTTTTTAAACTATGCTAAAAATGATTGATGATATCAAGAGTCAAATAAAATAAGTATTTCTATTTCAAACAAAAATATTTTCAATGTGAGTGTTACCGTTATGTAGTAAAAATAAAATGTGGGAGGATAAGTATTGGATTGTAGTCTGAAAATAGTATTTCCAGACTGATCGAAGAGAGGCGGACAATTGACGAATCTGTGAAAATGGCAACAGCAGCAACACAAAGGCTCCGTTTACTTTCTTCCTTAGATCAAGCGAAAGAAATGTGGTTGGTTGATTGCTTGGTTCTTTATTGAACATCGTTTTAGTTTCAGCAAGCAAGTAGGAATCTTGCTTTTAGTTTTATTGAGCGACTTTCGCAGTTTTTTTTTTCCTCTTGTTGTGTTTTACAGTTTCTGAAGAACATGAAGAAAACGGTCTCTAATGAATGGCTGTTACAACACCAGCCCAATTTTCTTTTCCAAGTTTAGGTGTTCCGATCAGTTTTTTTTTTTTTTTAAAGAACCCGAGTTACTCGTTTTGTGAAGAAAAACTGTATTAATAAAAAAAAAAAACGTAGGAATCACTTTGAAAAATACTCAAGGCAAGAGTGAAAAGGGTGAAAGAAAAAGAAAAAAGAAGAAAGGGTGAAAGAAAAGAAAAAAAGAAGAAAGGGTGAAAGAAAAGAAAAAAGGGTGAAAGAAAAGAAAAAAAGGTGAAAGAAAAGAAAAAAAGGTGAAAGAAAAGAAGAAAGGGTGAAAGAAAAGAAGAAAGGGTGAAAGAAAAGAAGAAAGGGTGAAAGAAAAGAAGAAGGGTGAAAGAAAAGAAGAAAGGGTGAAAGAAAAGAAGAAAGGGTGAAAGAAAAGAAAAAAGAAGAAAGGGTGAAAGAAAAGAAAAAAGAGTGAGAGGGTGAAAGAAAAGAAAAAAGAAGAAAGGGTGAAAGAAAAGAAAAAAAAGAGTGAAAGAAAAGAAAAAAAAGAGTGAAAGAAAAGAAAAAAAAGAGTGAAAGAAAAGAAAAAAAAGAAGAAAGGGTGAGAGAGTGAAAGAAAAGAAAAAGAAAGGGTGAGAGAGTGAAAGAAAAGAAAAAAAAGAAGAAAGGGTGAGAGAGTGAAAGAAAAGAATAAAAAGAAGGGTGAGAGAGTGAAAGAAAAGAAAAAAAAAGAAGGGTGAGAGAGTGAAAGAAAAGAAAAAAAAAGAAGGGTGAGAGAGTGAAAGAAAAGAAAAAAAAAGAAGAAAGGGTGAGAAGGTGAAAGAAAAATAAAGAGAGAAAGGGTGAGCGAAACAAAAAGCACCAACCAAAAAGAAAGAGAGCGGTTTAAATGAAAGTAAGCGACTTTCTTACATCGTTTCTTTCTTTTGGTTAGTTTGGGGAGCGGGGGTGAAAAAACTATTAGACTGGCATTGGGTAGGAAATAATAAGTCCTACAACAAATAATTAAATTCCCCACACCCTTTCCCCGATCGTCGCTACCAACAGCAATCATTCAAATCAGTCACTCATTTCATCCCACCCTCCAAACCACTTCACCACACTGACTTAGTAGCAAAAAGAAAAAGAATAATGGGGAAAAATTCTTATCACTAGAAAAGTAATAATCGAACAGACTTTTTAGTTTAAAAACGGAGAATTAGCTGTCGAAATATTGACAATTTTTCTTTTGTAGGAATAAACGTTCAGTTAAAAAGAAAGATAAAGAAGTAAACATTGCTGAAAATATGTCAATTCTTTTGTTATAAATGTCTAAGACTTTTACTTTTCACCCTCATATTCCCTTCTTTCAGTGACCAAGTCTACTAAAAGAAACGGATACCTAATTTAAAAGATTCGGGAAAAAAAAAAGTCCTTAAAAGTGAATGTAACATTTTTTGAATGTTTGCTTAATTTTTATTTAACTATTTTTTTCTTAAATAGAAGTTTTAAATTTTTAATTCGTAATTTTAAAATTAAAAGTGCCGTTTAAGATCGCATCAAAATTAACCAGACTTCCCTTGTTTTATTTACATCATTTATTGTTCAATATTTAATTTAGTAGCGTTGATAAAGGAACTGTTTATAAAAGCAGATATTTTTCAATATTGCTTTGAACCGAACAAAAAAAAAAAAAAATTTTGGTAGCAAGAAACTAAATTTGAGAGAGGTGTTCCATTTTAATGAGAAAATGGATTTAAAGGTTTAAAAAAAAAAAAATCACGATCTTTTAAGTTTTATGTAATTATAAAAAATGGAAACTAACATCTAAAAACAAAGAAAAAAACTAGCAGAAAAATAAGTTGTTAATGAATGAATGAAAATTTTTTTAAGCCGGATAAAGGGTACAATTTAATTTACCTTTTGTGTTGAATGATGGATTTAGCGGTCTGGATGTATCGTCCAATAAATAATAATAATATTCGGTAATTTTTCGTATAACCTTTTTTTTTTTCTTCTTCTTTTAAGATTTAAAAAACACGATATAAAAATTGGTTTTGAAGTAAGTAGGTAGTTCCCCCGTCCGTCCGTAATATGGTGAGAAGCCCGTCCGTTTGTCCGTCAGCAACGAGCACCTGGCGCGGAGACGACACAGTGAGAAGTGTTTGGTAAGAAGGAGGAGGAGAAGGGTTGGAGGTGCAGATTTAATGAAAGGAGGAGGTAACCACGAGGAAGTAAAAGACGAAACATTTCGAATTTAAGCAATGGAAGGAGGAGGTTGAGTGAAGTCGAGAGAGACACACGTTTACGTGTGAGAAGTATACACATACACACGCTAGGTTTGCTTTTAAAAGAGAGGAGGTACTCGTGTATGCGTGAAAATAAAAATTTAACGTTTAAAAAGAAGGTTCTGTTTATTGTTGTATGTAAAAATAAAAAAGATTGATTGAATACGGCATATAAAAAATAAACTTCATATGAGCGGCCCTTTAACAATTTTAGACGTAATTAAAATTACTGTTTTAGTTAAAATACAAATATTAAGTTTTTATGATTACGTACTCAAAGAAATAGGGTGGCTAGTTTATTTTATTAAAAAAATGAATTCTTAATTTTGAAAAGTATCCTGAGTCGAGTGTACGTGTGTCCATATTTGAAAACCTATTGTTGAAAAATGAATTATTTTGTTAATTTTTCTGATCCTAAAGCAGGTAAAAAACACATTGTGGGTGGGAAATCGCTTGTTTAGTATCAACTGAAACACCCGCTCGGGTATGAACAAAACACACTACTACACGCACATCGTGTACCCTCCCTTGTGTTGTTATTGTCAAACGCACGCCTTTTCTTATCAGGCTCTCGTAATCAATCACTCAAACTCAATTGCTTATTGTTCATCTTTTCTCTTTTTTCTTTTTCCTGTCTGAGAAAATTTGAAGATTTGTCGTAGAAGCCTAATCGACGGACTAAAATGGGGGGCTTTTTTAGTTTTTTCAAATTCATTTTCTTCCGATGAATGGGGTACAAAAAAGAAAAGCAGCTCTATTTTTAAAATAGCTTTAGGCGAAGAAAAACGTAGAGAATAAAAAAAGAAGATACAAAAAATAATAATAGTAATAATACCAACAGGGATTTTTATTAGTAAAGTAGTAGTTAGCTTGGCACCGACACAATTGATATACGAGACAGATAAAGAAAATTTATATTTAGGAAGATAGATTTTTAACAACAGATAAATTGAGACAGGCAATAATTGTGAATAGAAAATCAGCTGAGAAGTATTAAGATACAGATGAGAAAATGATCTGAGAAACATACAATCGACATAAAATGAACGAGAAGATTCGAAATCTAGTGAGTATTTGAAAGAAAGAGTCGACGAAAAAGACTCATTATAAATATCCCCTCCCTTGTAGTGACATTCACGGTCAACCATTCATAAATTCTATCTTGCAAAAGGCGACCTTTTCAGTTACTACTGCTTCTTCTGCACGTCGTGAGAAGAAAGCACAATTTACTTTCTGCGAATTTTTTCCTACTTCCTAACTTCCACAGTTTCTAACCATTCTGTTTTTATTTTTTAAATCACAGGAACTAAATTTCAATTCATTTACAATTCGTTGCGCATTTCTAATTTTAAAGACAAAAAAAGAATTTAAGAGACTAGAGAGTATTTTTATGACACATGGCTTTGAAATAAGATAGAAGCAAAAAATTTAAAATCAAACGCTTGAGTTGAGAGTTGTTGAGACTATGTTTCCATTTTATTCGCTAGGTATGTAATAAATAAATAATAACTAGAATAAAAATGAAATATTGACCAAAGAGAATTTTATTTACTCTTTTCTCCAAAGGTCAAAAAAGAATCTAACATTGTGTTTTAGTGTAAGTAATTTATGTCAAATGAATTGAAACTAATTTCTCCAAGAAATTAAAACGGTACTGATCTACATGCTACACCCACCTTTGTAGAGAGATAACCTTATCTTAGTTTGGTACAAGGTCACTATTATGCAAAACTAAGAAGGGAATGAGTTCAGTTTGCTGGTTCTACAGCAGGGGCAAATACATCGAAGCAATTATAGACGCCTACCGTAGAACGGTAGTTCATAGCAGCAATCTAGTCCTACTGACCATTGTTAAGTAAGTGCAAATTTGATCCTCAGTGACTGAGTGCTCAACAATTATGATCAGCTTATGCTTAAAAAGACCTTAATGTTTGTTCTTTTTCAGTATGTATGAAAAATATTACGATGACCTTTCTTTGAGTAGTAGTACTGCTATTTTCGTTTTAGTCTTGAATAATTTGAGCCAAATTTCCACTGGTGCCGAAGGTTGGGTCCAGGTAAATGCCAGTTTTCTGATATACCCTTTCTTTATCGGATCCTCATTCTGTTTTGTGTCGTATTTGGGAACAAAAAACAATTTTTTCTTATGTTATTTTATTCTTATTATAAAGTTTAAAAGTAAAGAAATACCATTTTCAGTCGACATCTATAAAAAAATAAATCAACGTGAAAACTGAAAAGGAACAAATAAAGATTTTTTTAAAAGAACTAAAAAGCATGGGGAGAAAGAAATTATGAAAGAAAAACGCAAAGAGGAAATCAAAGAAGTCTGATATTTGCACACACGCTGAGTATGCGAACGAACACATGGATGCTCAATAGAGAATAGAAGAAAAAACAACTTTCATTCATTCACCCATTCATCAAAAGTTGAAGTAGAATAAAAGAGAAAGGGAGGGGAGAAAGAATTAGAGTCAAGTAAAAGACGAAATAAAAAAGAAAGGGTAAAGAAAGAATATATAAACGAAAATAAATAATTAAATAAAAAAAACAGTGAAAAAGGTGGAGGTCTTAATGGGAAATAAATATAAAAGATGAAATTGAAATTGTAAAAAGGTTAAAGAAAGAAAGAAATTCAGTTTACATTGAAGAAGAAAACAAGGAAGAAACAAACCTAAGATAGAAAAACGGTAAAAAAAAACAAAGGGAGCCAAAAGAGAGGAATAATAGAAAAGAAAGAGGAGAAAGAAAGATTAAAACAATGGAATACTTTTTTTGTATTTGCAGCCAATAAGAAATTGTAGGGATTGAGTTGTAGTTTTCATTTTTAAACCCCCTTCATCTTGGCTGACTCATCGAATGACAGACTGCAAGAGAGAAAATGAAATTAATTGGGCGGAGGGTTATATTTCTGTTCGGAAACAAAATAAAGCTGTTTCCATCTTCCAATTTACTTTAAGTTTTAAAGGGTTTTTTTTTATCAATGAAAGAAACTTATGTAAGTGTCGCTAACTTAGGGTGCATTTTAAAAATATTGCATATTTACTTTTAAAAAATTCTATTTGTTTTTTTTTAGTTTTAATAAGACGAAAAATTATAAGTTTTTATTTTATTTAAAATAGTAAACTTTCCTTTTCTTTTCTTTTTTGCAGAGTGGGGAGATACTTTTTCTTTTACTTTGTTTTTTAATCCCGCTTTTCCAAATGCTCGATTTTCAAAGTGATATTTTGATCCCAGGAAACCTCACAGAATAAATTTATTATTTAAATGAGTTTTTTTTTTTATATTCGAACTAATATTGATGTTTTGTTTTTTGTTTTTTTTAATAAAATTCGATTTTTTTAATCTATTTTTATTTCGAAATGACCTGTTTTTTCATTTTGTTTTCCATAAAAATTGGGATTTAATTTTGCCGTTTGCGATATCGAATTTAAAAATGTATCCCCCACACCCACACACACACAAAAAGGAAGTCTCTCGTGGACTTTTTGCTTATCATATAAGAACTGAGGCGCGTCGTGGACTTGAGGTGGAAAAAATGGTTAAAAATCTTATGTTTTTACCTACTTAAAAATTTAAGGAATTTAGCGTAAGTTCTTATCAGCTGAGCCACGACATCGATCCATGAAATCGTGACTCGATTGTTAAGTTGTAAAATAAGAGAAGTTGCCAATCTTCTTTCTTTTATTTTAAACCCACTTAAATGTTTTCTAACCCACACTTATATAGGTAGCCATTATTATCAGCATGTATGTAATTAATTGTATGCAATAAAATATGAGACATAAGTTTTTTGTTTGTATTATTTTTCTCGCCTTTATTTCTTTAAAAAGAAATAAAGGCGATATGAATTTAATTTAACACATGTCGCCTCATATGGGCGTAAAAATAAAAAAAAATTAAAAAAAAACATTGTTTCATTCATTAGACATTCATTTTTATTTAATTTAGTATTTACGTTAGACTTCTTTTTTCTTTTCTTTTTTTTTAAATCGACAAAGTGTAGAAAAATTAACAAAGAAAACGTATCCATCCAACCAAACAGGAAAGAAGTAGGCTTGGGATGTAGTGTCCCCTTAAGTGAGGCCCGGCCTACCATAAATGGTAAGGTACGGGAATCTGGTTGAGTCATACCGTTTTTGAGAAAGAAGAGGGTTAGGTTGCAGCAAAATCCCTTTCTCGCCGGTTATGGGTTAGCCAACTGTCCCTATTCCCTGGAAAAAAAGAAAAAAGAAAAAAAGATCTCCCCTCACACACGCAAAAAAAAAAACCATCTGAAACGAAACCCTTTTCCTAGTTTAAGCAAATAATATAGACATTCATAGCGGCGTTGGTAATCAGTCACAATTAAACTTTCAATAATTGTTAAATTTTGAAACTATATTTGTAAAACAAAATTTTTGTATGTAAACGTTGAGTTGTATTCATGCGGATCTGACTTTTCATAAACATTTTTATTTTAAATATTCGTATAAATGAACGTATGTCTGAAAGAAGAGAAAGTTCATACATTTTTAAATTTTAATAAATGACAATTTTACAAGTGTTGCCGGCAAGACTTTTGATCTGTTACTGCTTAGCTAGACTTTTGGAGGTAAAGGGAGTTGCTTGGCGTAGATTTGTGAAGATGAACTGGTATTTTGAGTTGACTGACTGACAACCTGTTGCAAAGTCTTGTATTTATGTTTTCAGAAGATACAAAATTCAACGTTTTTGAATTGATTCAAACCAATAGCCATTGGTTGAAAATACTCATTTTAAACATATACTACAACACTCAGGATTAACCAAAACAATAATCTACTAGATTATGTGTCTGTAATGGATTATTAGAGCATTGATTAAAGTTTAAACCTATTTGATTTTCTGGCAGTTGTATGTTCGATCCCTGCGTCTGGTAGTGCTTGAAATCACAGTGGTTTAATAGTAGAAGCAGACAGGTGACAGAAAGGTGAATAAAATTGATGATAAAATTTTCTTTAAGCAGCAAAAGCAGAATAAAAACAATATGGATTGAATAAAGGGTTTGGTTAAAAATTC